CCTTTTTGATCTCAACAAACGGGCCTTCACCATTAAACAGAATGGTGCACCTGTCCACACATACTACAACCAGCTGCAGACCATCTTTCAGGAGATTGATCATCGCACTCCAAATCGCATGCACTGCGACGCCGACATGGCAGAGCGCCAGACAGAACTGGATCGTCTTCGTGTTCACCTTTTTCTTGCAGGGCTCGACCCTTAGTTTGATTAAGTCCGGGGGGAAATCCTGCGCAAAGATCCCAAATTAGACCTTGACCAAACCTTTGCATATGTACGTCCCGAAGCTCAACAATGACTGACCATGGCCAGTACTCCAGACACTGCGGTCCTGGCCACTCAACGTCCACAGGGCCCTCTGCCCTCTACCAGTGGCACTTCTCAAACTCAAGTCACAAGCTCTCGTCCAGAACACAAATGCACTCATTGTGGTGGAAGCAAACATACCCGTGCTGGCTATTACGAAAATTGATTGGGTACCCGGATTGGTGGGACCACTCCAAAGCTCCTCGCAAGAATAGGAGCAAATCACTCAACACATCTTCTGCCGCAGATCCTGTAAATCATGTTGTTCCGACTGCACCGGCTCCCGCATCTTCCTCTGTAGCCACAACAGGACATTCTCAGCAGCAAGACAAGTGGTTGTGGTACTAGGAGGAGCCTAGTTCTCATGTAACCTGTGCTTGCGTTCTTCTTGCAATTTCTCATATTTCTCATATTAAAAAAAAAAAGGTCAAACCCTAAAACAAATTTCTCCTATTTTTCCCCAAATTCAAATCCCTCAAATCTAAAGTCCTCAAATGCCTTATCTCAAATTTCTCATATTCAAATCCAAATTCCTCAAATCAAATTCTCATACCCTCAAATCTTATACACATACCTCTCAAATCCAATTCCTACATCAAATTCATACATCAAATTCCTCAAATTAAATTACTCCAATCAAAATCCATCACATTTTACTTCCAATCCTGGATGGGTGATCACTTGTTGGAATGACATAATGCTAATCCATGTTCCACACAGCCAAGGAAGCATCTTTTTTTAATCTCATTATTACTTGGTCGTTAGGAAGAGATTCTTTCTCGACCTGAATAGTGGAATGGAAGGCACTACAAGAAAGATATACCCTTTTTCAAATCGCCCCGCGAAGACGGACGTTCAGAAAGGTTATTGAGATTATCAATCTTTTTAGTGGGGAGGAATAGTGCGGGAAGGGAGCGAGCCCAAGCGGAGCCACTAGGAGAGTAAGGACTTCCCACGTGTCAAAATGAATGCAGCCTCAACCAGAGAGATCAACCTGCGCCTTTGATTGCAGACTCACAGAAGCATGCAGACTTGTGCTTTTATCAAACACCACTAAAGGTTCTACTTTTTTTATCTCCTCTCAAAAATCCGCATGGATTATCGACTCGGGTGCTACGAATTTCATGACTCACTTACCAAGTTGGGCATTTATGACGTATATGCACCAACTTGAGGAGGAGTGTTGAAGTGAGTCTCCTAATTAATCAAGAAGATTTATTTCCTTGATTAATTAAGGGATTTACTTTCCTATTTTATGTAGTTGTGAAATCATTGTATAATTAGGAGATACTTTCCTAATCCTTTACTGTATCTAATTCTTGGTAAAGCACTCATGTAAACTCTTATATATACCTCATTATGGAGAAGAATAAAATAAGAACCTAACATATTCAAACCCATATTCATATTGTAGCAAAAGGCTATAAGTTTCAACACAAATATGAATCTCATTACCACACACAAGAGAAAAAAGTTACGACAAATATGTATTCCAGTACTATACAATAATTTCTTTTACACTAGTAAGAAACCACTGTTGGTTTTTGCAAGGCATTGCAAACATGTTTGAGTTCAAATTAGCCTCACATTGGAAAACTAAATTTCCTTGAAGGTCTTTATAAGACTTACTCTTGGAAATAGAATTGTTTGAATTGGGCTTGCAAGTGGCCCAATTAAGTGGTTGGTGGGTTTGGCCTTTGGGTCAATGCCTAATTAGTTGGGTCAATGGTTAAATAATATATATTTAATTATTAAAATTAAACCCAATTAATTAATTTAATTATGAGTTAAATTAATATTGCCAAAAATCAAAGTCCTAGATAGTTGTATTCTGGTGGAACAGACACTGGCAGCTCTACAAGCACAGAGTAGGGCGAAATTCTGTTTTTATTTTACTGCATTGTTTAATTTCGTGATTTTATTTATTGTTTAATTTAATTATTAAATTAAATTATTAGTGTAATACTGATTGTTGTTGATCCAACAACCACTATATAGTCTATATATGGGAACTTTATATCTTTTATCGTTTTTAGATCTCCCTCATACTTTAAAGAAACGTGAGCCTCCTAAATGAGAGACTTGTTGTGGCCGGCGTTCATGCTCAAGCAACAGACATAAGAGAGCACACTGTTTGTATAATGGCGTGAGTATGAGGAGAATAACAGCTGCAATGATAGGGATAGCTGCCCAAGGAGTGTTGAAATAATTTTGCCTCGAATTTGCCTTCATTTTGTGCCACGTCTATAACTGCAGTACGTGTTCAGGCGTTCACCAAGATCAGGAAATGTGAAGTTGTCAGATGCGCATAAAACCCAGCCAATGTTGCTAAACCTAGAGTAACCACCTGGCTGCTAGAATATTTTCAACAATTTTATGTTCAACAAGCAAATCCACGTCCTTTGAGCTCTTCACAAAACGGCCCATGACGTTCAAAAATCAGTTACATAGCAGGACTTAAGCCTGCAATGACATTGTTCAAAGGCAAGAAGATTTCAAAATGAAATCCCTGTATCATCACATAACGTCATTTTTGAAATTTCCTGAATCCCATTACTTCGTATGTCAAATCATGTACAAGAAAAACTTACCAGAACATGTGCAAAAGAAATGCTAGTACCTTGATCATTTTTTTACCATCAAGCTTGGTTTAATGACTTCATTGAGGTTTAATAGGTAAGTTTTGAAATGGTCAAGACCATCAAGAGTACTTACATTTAGGTTTAATAGGTAAGTTTTGAATATTTCTGTATTTAGCTTTAATTATTGAAAATCAACCTATTATCATATCATTGATAAAGATTTGTCCATATTCGACGTACATTCTCATATTTTTCTCTCATTGAAGTAAATACAAACTAAGCACATGGGATGGCACCACAGTAGAAAGTGGGTAAACTCTTCCCCTCCCCCCGAAGTGCACCCGGGTTCGATTCACGCAGTCTTGAGGCAACCCAATATTATAGTCCCCCCTTCCCCTCCCTAGCGAATGACCAAAAAAAAGAAAAAAAAAAGTAAATACAAAACCAATGACAAGTCCAAATGATTGACCTTTTTGTTTTGAGGTTTCCAAATGATTGACCTCGGAAGAGGCTATGCAATGAGCCTAGCTAGTGCAATGTTGATCACTTCAGTGTCTACCGATCTGTAATTTTTCCAGATTGGTTATATTTTCCTTTACATATTCTTAGATTATTCCCAGCTGTAAGTGTTTTACACACTTGTATTTAGAAAATAATAATAATAATAATAGTGCAGCACCTTATTACTTTGCAATAATTACATCCCCAAATTCATACAAAACTCTGTTGGTCCTCGATCCATGCCACTTCTTAGAAAATTCTAAAGCGGTTTTGGTTATAACATGAAAACTGTTTTCTGGAAAATGGTTGTAGCTAGATTTAGCTATATTATTATTATTATTATAGCTTCTAATAAAGCAAATTCTCAAACAATAATAGCAGATACTAGAATCCTATAGATAGTACTAGATGTTATCCTCCTTTCTAGATTTCTCATGCCTCGAGTCAAAACACACACACACAAACAAACCAAAGTTTCATTGATGGCATGTTTACTAATCTATAAATGGATTATGAGGAATTAAATTGAGAATGAATTGAATCGAAGAGGAGTTGGATTGAGAAAAATTAGATTCCGGATGTATTGAAGTTGTTTACTAAACCATATGAAATTGAGGTAAGAGTAGTACTAATTACTCAAATGTCCTAGTTTGTTGGATTAAAGTAGATGGTAAATTTGAAAATTTTGAATATTTTGCGATGATATAATGAGTAAAAAAGATGAATTCCTAATGGATTAGTTCTCCAAGAATTAGAATACCACCTCCCACCCAAGAAAGTAAACACATGAATCCTCCATATGCGGAATTCAATTCCTGATTAGTAAACACACCATGAAAGTAAAAACACAATTACACACAATTTTCATACCCAATTTCGAACTACGTCCCATGAAAGATAAGAAACTAAAATCTTCAAGAAAATATTGGAAATGTGCTACAAACATAGCAATGAAGATGGAAGCATTATCTCAGACGAATGATTATGAAGTGGAAAAAAACAAAAACAAAAACGAAAAAGGAATTGAGTTAAATTTGCACCTGTTGTGTTTCAAAGGAGCAAGTAGGTTTTCCCTTTGGTCTCACAAGAGAAGCTCAATGCAGCTTACTTCGCTCCTCTGGGAGATGAAAATATAATTTTCTCCTAATAATGATGCCAAGCAAGTTCCATATCCCAAAGAGAGAAAACCACAAGTTTACCGATTTTTCAAGCAAGTTTGATGCCATTTCCCCTGTTTTCAAGGTATATATGTACACGAGAAAGTTTGTCCGGTGTCCTATATTCATCTCACTTTCTCAACCCTATATTTGTCTAACTTTCTAGATCCATGTACTGAGATTTATTATGGAAATATTGTAGAAACTGATTATTTTGAAATATTAAATGTGAAAAACTAAGCAAAAATTTGATGCGTTACATATTTCAACTCATTTCGGCAGCTTAGATTTTGAAGACCTCGGAAGAGGCTATGCAATGAGCCTAGCTAGTGCACTGTTGATCACTTCAGTGTCTACCGATCTGTAATTTTTCCAGATTGGTTATATTTTCCTTATTCTTAGATTATTCCCAGCTGTAAGTGTTTTACACACTTGCATTTAGAAATAATAATAATAACAATAATAATAGTACAGCTCTTATTAGGAACAGGGTTACAAACTTCTTCTACAACACCAACATGAATCCCACTATGTTAAAACAAGCACATAGCGCACACCTTTATTGAAAACAAAGCTAGCCCTGATCCACTCTTTTACATACTTGAAAACAAAACAAAACACAAAAAACACAAAAAAAACATAGGAAGAAAATGACTACGGAGAGACTTACTGCTAATACGTAATCAATAACAGAGATAATAGAGCACACTGTTTGTATGACAGTGAGTATCAGAAGAATAACAGCTGCAATGAGAGAAATAGCTGCCCAAGGTGTGTTGAAATACTTTTGTCTCCAATTTGCCTTCCATTTGTTCGTGGGCTTGTCGTAGTACTTGTTTAGACCTTCAGCAAGGGTACCAAAATAGTAGTTTCCGTGGTTCGGAGCAACCTTACTACAAAGCTTGTTAATCATAACAGAAACCTTATTGTTGTCACCTAGCGTGTTTACAACAATTCCATTCTCAACAAGCAACTCTACATCCTTTGGGGTGTTTACGAATTTATCCAGGATGAAAACATAATCGCTTATGTATTTATCCACGCAATGGCATTGTTCAAAGGCAATGAGATTTCTAAGTGTAAGCTCTGTGTAATCATGTATTTCAATTTTTGGAATTTCCACGGTGTCTTTATTGAACTCTATATCGAATAAGTTCTTGCGTGATCCATTTTTGTGAAACTTAACTCCGGCCTGGTGTAGTTTTGTCACGCTGGGTGTACTTCGGAGCCCTCCATTTCCTTCTCGGGTCGAATTGAGTGGCCCTCCAGGTTTTGGGGTATTGAAATCTAGCAGATGTAAAGTTCTAATAAAATCAACAAAATGTGAAGGTTCAGAATCACGAGACATAAAATACTCACGGAAGGCTGGTCTTTTCTCCAAGTCTTCTTCTAAACGCAGTGCCTGTTGGAAGAACTTGTAAGAGAGTTGAATTATTGAAGGCACCCCAGTCTGAGCACCTGTGAGACTGTAAAGATCCTCGAGAATGAAAAATGGCAGCTGATTTTCGAGCAAAAGCATGTAAAGATCCTCGAGAATGAAAAATGGCAGCTGATTTTCGAGCATAAGCATGTCAGGCAATATATTTTGTAGCACCCATGGTTTTTTAAATATCCAAGCATTATCATCCCGCAATTTTTCTTCGGATTTATTCCTCAACAATAGCTCAATGACAAAGGCGGCGTCAACTAGAATGATATTCAAAAAAGCAGCAGTGTTAAACTTCTTAGTGTCTTCATAATAACGACGGAGTTCATCTTCTTTCTCCTCTATTTTCTTGAAATAAGTCTTCAATCCTACTTCAGTCCGAGCAAGAAAACAGTTTAGGTACCTGAGTTTGTGATCTTCCATGGCTTCTAAGTTTTTGCTGCCATGGTGAAGTGGGCCTATTGAGACTACTTGTGGTGTGTAGGCCTTTTTTTTCACGTTCCGTAGTCGCTCAGGCACCCTGTAGATACAACAGGCAGGGGGCAGGGCACGCAAGTTTGTCAACTGATTTTGCATGGAAGTTGCTTGGCTTTCTATGTCAACAGGAGCTTCATTGCTGCTTTCTTGCATTTTCTTCTTCCCCATTATGTGTTGTTCAGATTGTAAGTGACGAGGATGGTGAGGATTCTAGACACCATAACCAACAAATGTTTCAATCATAATTGACATTTCAAGATGCTCCGACAAAAAATTAGAAAACATTCATCACAAAATGCGAACTCATACAATAGATAGGTTGAGAAGATCAACACATTGCAATCATACAATCCAATTGCACAGGGATTAGTCCCAATCCTCCTATAATAGGTCATTCTCTCTCTCTCTCTCTCTCTCTCTCTCAAAAATATTTTCATATCGATAACATCTTATTGCAAGGGACTTGTACATCAAGTGGTGAAGAACAGAAATTCATATTCTTCCAATCAAAATGTACAAATTTCGAAAATGTTTGTTTGTTTTATTTTTGGGGGAAAAAATCTGAGCATATATATGCATATTATATGTAGACCTAAGGTGAAAACAGACCAGATTTTTTACTCCATTTTTCATGAGGTTTAAGTACGTGATGTAAATATTTATCTCAAGAATTTATATCCTCCCTTTTAGATCTCATGCTTCCAGTCAAAACATGCAGAATAAAGTCAAAACAAACGAAATTCCAAAGAATAAAGTTACAACATTTTAACATGACCCTTGCTCATTTCAAAATGTCCAACTACCATTGAAACATAAGAAACTAAAATCTTCAAGAAAATGCTATCAATAAAAATAAAAATAAAACAAAAAAGGAAGGGAATTGGCACCTGCTATGCACAAAAGAGCAAGTCGGTTACCAGAAAAGCTCAATGACTTTTTTCGTCTTCTTTTTGTTGTGGAAAAGAAAAGCTCAATGATGGGCTATATATAGGAAGAAGCTCAATGATTGAATAAATATCTTCTATCTACCCTCTTCCTCGCCATAAACACAAATGGGGCAGACCAGTACATGGACAGGTTGACATGAATAAGACAAACAGCGACACAGACCTAACATTCATACCTAACATTCATACTTCTTTTTTTTGGTTCTTTAGATCATTTTCCACAAGCAACCGTCCACGTACTAGTTACAGGATTTATTTTATATCAACGAGTACGATGGTCCGTATCAAGTCTTTAATTTGGTGAAAGCTTCTATCTACCTACCCCTATATATGAGCTATGCAATGGTGATTGTGTTACATGACGTCACAATGTCGCAGGGGGGAAAAAATAATAGTCGAGGTTTCTTATTATATTGTTAATACATGCATAGCAAAGAGTTTGTTGCTTCAGTGGTTAAGAGCAGTTTCTCATGCACTTGAGATTCTGCCCCAATATTACTTGTATAAAAATAAACTTTTTTTTAATGAAGACATTAATATTGTATTCTATAAAGGGTTGGGACATATTTTATATTGTTAGAGCATCTCCAACAACCTCGTTAATAACTTTAGAATTCTAAAATAGGCGAGAGCCACATTAGAAAACTCTCTCCAACAACCTAAAGACATTAATATTGTATTCTATAAAGGGTTGGGAGCATCTCCAACAACCTCGTTAATAACTTTAGAATTCTAAAATAGGCGAGAGCCACATTAGAAAACTCTCTCCAACAACCTCTTCAATCTCAATTATCGAAGTTGCAACCTATTTCTCTCTCTTCAGGATTGGTAAGTTGACTTTAGCTCTTAAACATTTAATTGTACTTTGGAAAAACAAAACTTACCTTGAAAATGTTAAAAACATGCATTTTTTCTTTTCATAGAATAAATACATAGATAGTTTTCACATGTTGTTTCCCTCTTTTCGGCCGGATAGGCCAATGAAAGGAGTTTTTGGTCCTTCTTCTCTTGAGATGCGTAGGCGTGCCACCACCAAACCACTTGATGGCTTGGATGGAAAGATTGTGTGAGTGTGTTTGCGCTTCTGACTTTTAATCAATAAGGTATTTCAAATTGCCACGTAGGTCATCAAACTTCAACCCTAGAGTTTTATTTGCTACTATTGTTGGAGATGCTCTTAGACAACCGATTTATACTTGGGTGATGCCTAGCTATATTCAATTCGTGTGTATTTAATTTGCCACTTACATTTTTGCCTTAATACATTTTGGCTTATTTTTATACTAATTTCTCTAACATAACTTTTGCAGATTCTTTTAGTCTCTAACATATATGTTCTAATAAATGATCTTACCCACTAAAGTTATAAATCATTTTCTTTTAGTACGGAAAATCGACATTTTAATAGAGAGTTGAAAAGCACTCCCCAATTTTAATGTCAAACCTGTGGCCAAAGGGTATTTGTCATAGGTCACATGACAGTGGTCCGAGCATAATATTGTCATTGATTATTCCCCACGGCAGCCAACATCTGTGGCCAAAGAGCTAGGGCCCACCCATACTCCACCACTCTGTATGTAGCTCTTCGACAATATAAAACTAAATATTTTTTATTCAACATGGACACAGAAATTGTGGCTAAACTGCAAACTTCTTAAAAAAAATAAAAATGAAAATAAATTCAGATACCAAAAATAAATAAACTTTTGTTACAAACATAATGGATTTGTTCTTCTTGTTGTTTTGAAGACCAAAAAAAAAAAGTAATGAAGGCTTATAACTCTGGAAAAACAAGAGTGACGTGGACATCAGATGATACGTCGTACTGAAGATTTTTGAAGATTCTTTATTTGGGTTTCTTTCAAGATGAAAACCATATTATCCACAACCACAACCACAACTGGCAGGCAATCTTTGGCTGTTCATCACAATTGGGAGAGAATGGAGAAGACAGAAAATGGAGAAATGTATGTTACCAGCAATCCACGGCAAACTGAAGTCTGCAAGCTTTCGAAATATAACAAGGATGGGGAGGCTGCGCAATACTTATCACCTTAGCCACCACCTACACCATAAGACCAATATGTGTAGGCCAGGAGGCTTTCCAGTTTTAATATATATATGGATTGAAAAAATAAAATAAAAATCAATCTATTATCATATTATAAATGGCTTCTTAAATCTAGGTCCAAAACGATTAGCTATCACTAGATTTAGTCCACACTTTTTTGGTTTTAGATGTAGGTCATTTGAGGTAAATAAGGAAAATATATTGAAAATCTAAATTTAATGCATTATTTCCTTGTAATTGAATTTCAGAATTTAAATTTTGAATTTTGAATTTTTTCCTTTATAATATTTACCTATATATGGATAAAATACAATTTAATCAATGAAAATTAAAGACCCACATATTATACCAATTATTCAAGCAAGCACCCACATGAAATTATGTACCTAACATACGGGTAAATAGTGTTATTATTAGCAATGGAAAAAACTTAGTGATAAATCATGTTACCTATAAGTCAGGAACATAAATTAAAAGACCACCTATAAGGAAGGAACATAAATTAGAAGACTACCTATAAGTTAGATACAAAAATAGACAAATAAAAATTGTATGTTACCTATAAATAAAAAAAGGTAATAGAACATATATATATATACCTATGCAATAGGCAATAGAACAATATACCTACACCATAGGATAATATATCTACAAGAGTATGTAATATACCTCTACCGTTGGAACAAAAGAACCGTTAGTTTTAACAATGCAAAAGAAACGTGAAAGTCGAAGGAAATGAACCTAATGCTCTGATACCAAGCTGACAAGACCCACCCAGAATTTCTCGGAACCCGGGACGAATCCCGTCGAAAAATTCTGACATCTTACTGATGCAAGGCCCACATACTAAAGCACGAGACTTTTTGCTAAAATTTCAGCAGAGTCTACCTTGAAAAATGGACAATTCCCAAATTCTCAACCTGTTAAAAACACAATTTAACCACAACTGGCAACAAGCACAAGTCAACAAACAAGCAGTTTACAAACTAGGTCTTTGGCCTTTCAAATCAAACCCTAGAACGGGAGATAACAGAGCAATCTAAGAATTTCAGTTTACAGACGATAACAAAGTTTAACAGAATAGAAACGAAACCAAATTTATCCTACAGAAGCTCGAGGTTCGGAAACTTAGGGCTCGGCTCTGCTGCTCAGCTCAGTCAATTACTGTTTGGGGGGCGTTACAGAAAACGTATGAGTGGACAAAAACCAAGTTGATTTATTTTGCAAAACAACATACTAACCCCACCGTTTAGAAAATAATGCTCAAAACATGCAGTCAATACCATATTTACGTAAGCATTTTGAAATCAAAGTATTCTCACTTTTTCCGAGAATATATGAAACTCACCAAACCAAAACCTTTTTGACTTCAATCCAAAATTCCCGAAGAAATGATTTGCAACGACATATGTAAGAATGTCGTTAAAGTATTCCACTATTACACTTATCCATATATATATATATATACCATTATAAAAAGTTATGTAAATCCAAAACTATGGTAATGTATTCTATATAGGTAGATACTTCAAATACCAATCGTATACGAGGTAAACAATATACGTATAATATATGTAAATATATATATAAGCATCACACCAACTTGAGAGCCGGGGAAAACAATCCAACAGGGGGATTGTTTGGATCATCCAACGCCACGTGTGATAAGCTAACAACCAAACCATATATGCCCACACGCCGGAATCATCCAACTCCACGTGTGGGTCCAACAACCTAGGGAGGGTACTTAGCATAGTGCAATCACATATTCACATAACCAAACAAGAAAGTACCCCAAACTCATATTAATATTTGCCCAAATACTTCATCATAATATGCACCGAAA